ATTAATTTGTTAGATGTTATATAAGAATTTTAAACTGTGTACACTGTACACATTTCTGAAATGCTTTACAGAGCGCTACACTGCAGCTAAGAAAGCGAATAAAAGCACTGCATAGATTCTGAACGCCACATGGAAACTACGATGCATTCACGTCTAACCAGTGTTTGGAGTGGTTCTGAGTTCAGGTTTTTACTAACTGTGGGGATGGGGGGCCTATTTTGTGTCCATATCCTCTGCTGCTGTGGATCCTACAGCTCTTTATCCATGTTTATCCATGAACATCAGCGCTGGGTGAGAGAACGCAGGAAAGGCACTCTAGATCGCTCCAGTCTTTCAGCGCTAGTGTCGTAAGAGATGTTGTTTTTTCCAGTAGACCCGTGCCGAAGGAAATGTCGTCTTTTCGTCAAGTATTTATTTCTTAACTTTCATTTCCCCTTTCGCTTGACCCTTTCCGTTGGAGGTCTCCCTTCCCCCGTGCACTGGCCAGATCTAGACAGATCAGTGTGTTAGCCTGCACAACCTGGCTGTGGAAGTTCACTCTCTGAACTCACTGTTCTCTGTGCACAAGAGGTGTTCGAGTGTTGGGCAGGTTCTTACCTTTCTGTCACTGTGCTGTGGTTGTTGGATCTAGCCTACTGCTTACCTGTAAGACAGAAACCTGCTGCATCTGCACTCTCTCGGCCACAAGCCACTACCAAAACCCGGCTCAAATTAATCCCCTCAGGCACGCTGCTCATCCTCTTACACAAGGGGGATATGCACACACCTGTGTTGGGGAGATTAATCACACAAAGTCTTTATCCAGGTAAATCCCTGTCAGCCAGGTAAACAGACACACAGTAGCAATGAGGACTCAGGGACTGCTGCCGGGTAGGTTCAGCAACGTGTGACCTCTGCGGCTCAGGGGTCATCCAGTCTGGACCAGAGCTCAGCTGGTGGTCTCAGCGTGGGTCCCACTCGGCTGTAGTTAGACCCGTGGGTGGGCTTTTCACTTACATTCTGTTTTCTTCAAAAGTATTTGTTAGCCTCTGTCCTTCATTATATAAGTAATTCTATTTTTGTCCAGCATATCCCACGTTTCAGACATAAACCTACACAAGGTGTCACAGCATGACTGGAACATTGCTTATGGTGCATTCTCAGTTTTGTCAAATAAATTCCATAGCAAACCCATCAGAAGATTACTGTTGTTTTTAGTGTGATACTTGAGCCTGTCATTCCTTTGGTAATGCTAGGAGGCAGTGAAGCACCAGCAGCAGTTGACCTTTTTCTCCAGTGAGTCTGTTTCGGTCCAGTGGGTCCAATGC